GACCCCCACCACACACACACACACACATGCCCACAGCCATCCTGACGCATCGGCTGCTCATATCACTCTACACTGTCGCACTATGTGTGGGCCTTTCCCAACCAACATTGCCTCCGCCTCATCGTGCGGGTCTGCTGGCCACCTCGCCCTCGGGTGAGCAGTTCATGTGGGGCTGCTGCGGGGTGTACCCGGTCCCTCCCGCCTTTGCCTCCCCCATCGCCCTCGCTCCTCATCCTCCGGCGGCTGCGCCCATCAAAGTCTCGCTCTTCGCCGATCCACAATGCTCTGGCCCGCCCGACGCAACCATGATCCTGCCGATCCCCATCGCCCTCGCCTCGGGGCCGGAGCTGCCGCTGCCGTTTGTCCTCAGCTGTCTGACAGTCGCCGAAGCGCATGCCGAGAGCTCTACAACATCATCCGACAGCTCAGAGCAGTCGCTGCCGCCACCGACACCAAGCCGCCCTGTCACCCCACCGCCGCGTCCAGAGCCGCATCATGCCGCCCGGGTCATCATCTTCTCCCGTCCGGGCTTTGTCGGCAAGCAGAGCTCGCTCGGCCAGGGCGCGTTTTCGCTCGGCGGCTCCGTGGCCGCCGACTTTTCTGTCCGCCTCGCCCGTGGCCTACAGATTGCCTTCTTTGTCGACGACCGCTGCGCTGGCGACTCGGTCTTGCTGACTTTCTCCTCGCCCTCAGTCCGCACCTTCCCGCTCTCGCAAGCCTCCCCCCTGTCGCTTGCGTCCGCATCTCCGCCATGCGCGACTCTGGTGCCGTCATCTTCCCGGCCAGAGGCTATGCTGCTCGACCCGGCCTTCCTCCGCAGCCACTCGGCCCAGGCACATACCCACCCTCGGTGCTAGGATTCTCACCCATTGCCTCCATCGATGTCTCACCGGGCTTTACCGTCCACGCACACATGGCCAACGGCGTCGTCGACTCGGCCTCGGAACCGCGCCCGGACATTGACTGGCGCAGCATCCGCTCGCTTGCTGTCCTCCCCATTTGTCCACGCGGCTGCAACGGCGGGCGCTGCATCGGCCCTGCCCGCTGCGCATGCCTGGATGGCTGGATCGGCGACGACTGTTCCAGCCGCGCCGTCGACGCCACCTCGCGCGTTGTCTGTCCACTCCTCACGCTTCGCGCCGGCTCGCGCGTATGGTGCTCCATTCAGCCACGCTTCCGCGACGCTTCCGTCACCGGCGTGGCCGGTCTTGCTGCCGCCTTTGTGGCCACAAACATTGCCACCGGCGAGCGCCTTGTTATCGACGATACCGCCCGCTTCGCCTTTGACGTTGTCGGGCCGCCGCTGCCCTCGTCGTCGCCGCGCGAGCTGATTCGTGTCGTCGTTGCCGCCACTGGCCACATCCTCTCAGTCCCGCACTTTGCGGTTGTCGGCACGCCTGACGCCACCTCGACTGTGGCTTGCAATCACTCGCTCCCGCTCTCGCTCTTGCCGGGCTCTTCCGTCGACTGTGAGCTCCGCGCTCGCCAGGCCGATGACGCCATCATGGCCCGCTCCTCCGACTTTGCCCTCGCCGTCGATACTGGATGTCTCGCCGCAACACCGATCACGCCGCTTCGCACAGCGCGCATGCCCGGACGTGCCCAACTGGCGTCCACCTTTCGCTTTCGTCTCATCGCCAAGCACACTCCGGCCTCGCAGGACTGCCCATGGTCGGTCACTCTCGCTGATGCCACCACTCGGCTCCACACTCCGCATGTCAGCATCTATCTTCCGCTAGCTACCGACCATCTGGGCCAGGCCTCGCTTGCACTTTACGCTGGCAATCTTCGTGCCGCCGCCCGCCATGCGAGTCAGGCCGTCGCCCACACTGGCGACACTGCCGCCGTCATGCTCCATGCCGACATCTTGCTCCGGCTCGGTGAGTTTTCATCTGCTCACGCAGAGTATGAAGCCCTGCTCGACGCGCGCGGCAGTAGTCTCTCTCGCCCAGCACGACGGTTGTTGCGTCTTGCCCTTTACCGCGCAGCCAAGCTTGCGCGGTCCGTCGCGACCGTCCGCAAGCTTCTTGCTGCCAACAGCGACATCAACTCGTCCGCAGCCATCAACAAGGCCATCAGGGCGCTGGAGCTGATCCAGCCTGCCGCAGACCTCGCCCGTTGTGCACCAGATGTTCTCTTGCTGCGCGCTCAGGCCGCACTCGTCGTCGATGCCTACGCGCTTGTCAAGTACGACGCATCTGTCATCCTGGCCACCGATGGTGCCACCCCGTACCAGGTCGGCTCTGCCATCCTCACTCTTGCGCGCAGTCTCTTGCGCACCGCCGGCCATGTCGACGGTGCTGCCGCAAACTTTAGAGCCTGTGCCCGTGCTCGCTACGGCGCTGCCACTGCCGAGGCCTGTGCAAACGGCACTGCGCTCGTTGTGCGGCTGCGGTCAGCGGCGGCAGCACCGGCAGCCTGCCTCGCTGAACCAGGCTGCAGCCTGGCCGAGTCGGATGCCCTCGTCTTCGCAGCCGCCAGCCTGCAATCAGCCTGCCTCGCTGCCACTGACCATCAGCCGGATGCCGACACACTCTGCAATGCCGCGCTCGACTATGATGACCGACTCCGTAAGCGCCGCCGCCGGCTTCGAAAAGTTCACGGCGCACCAGATGCCACGTCCGACGCTGCTGTCGCCATGGTGATCCACCTGGGTCGGCTCGCACTCACCCGCGGCGAGCTCGACAAGGCCATGGTATTGTTGCGGCGCGTTGCCAATCTCGCCCCTGGCGATCCGCGCGTCAACGAGCTGCAAAAGGCCATCATCGCAGCCCGCGACGCCGCCGCCGCCGAGGAGCAAGCCGAGGTCGGCGACTACTACGAGATCCTGGGTGTTGCCCGCAACGCCACCACCAAGCAAATCAAGGCTGCATATCGACGGCGGGCACGCGAGCTCCACCCTGACCGCAACTCGGCGCCCGACGCCGACGAGATGTTCATGCGCCTCGCCGAGGCATACGCCGTGCTGTCGGATCCCGAGACCCGTGCCCGCTACGACGCTGGCCAGGATGTGTCGTCAACGCATCGCGCATCTGGTGGTGTCAAGTTTCACTTTGACAAAGAGGCCATGGCCAATCGCAAGCCGGGTGAAAAGGTCAAGGCCTGGTTTGTCAACGATGACGGCGAGATCGAGTGGACAGAACTTGATCCCGACGACCACGCCCCGCCGCCGCGCAAACCTGCAAGGGCTTCGCCGCTTGACAATGTCCAGCGCCACTGCTGCCTTCCCGACCCGGACGTGGGCTAAATGTCGCGCTCTTCGGGCGGGACATACTTGAGGCCGAGCGCCTGGAAGACAGCTTCTTCGGTAAAGAGGCCAGGGATTGGCAGATCGCTCTTGGTGTCGCGGGAGAAGCGGCGAACAAGCGCGCGCTCCGACAGCGAGTATCCCTGCCGGCGAGCCCAGGTCCGGACCGATCGGCAAAAGTGCTCAGAGCCCGAAAAGTAGAGCAGGGCGCAGCCATACTCGGACTGCTTAAACGACTTGAGGTCAATGCGCCGATGAAGTGAGTCGGGTCCGAGCCGGCAGAGTCCCATGTACGAGTCGCCCCGATTATCCGAAGTGAGATCGTGGGTGAGGAGGCCGGCGTCGTGGAGTGCTGGCACCACCCGCGAGACAGCGCTTACCGCTACCTTGTCATCGGGATGGGTAAAGAGCACGTCGATGTCGCCGCACGTCAGTCGCCCGCGCCGGTATGATCCACACACCGTCAGTGCCACACCCGGGACGACAGCTGTGGCCACTTCCCGAACCCGTGCTTCGATGGCCATGACCTCGCTCCGCGGAATCCGGCTCTTGATGTCGTGGTAGTACTTCAGACCGATCGCCTGGTTGGTGGTGAGCGAGTCGGCGTGATCACGGACGTCGCGGAGCGTCCGCCACCCGCGCTGGTGCACCCATTTGCGGGCTGTCGCCGCGCCCACGCCCCAGATCGACTGAAACAGCTCAAGCGCTACAACCTTGTCGTCGGCCTTGAAGTTCTCGAGCTTGCGCAGCGAACCGGTGTCCAAAATCTCCTGGATTTTGGCGCCGAGCTTCTTGCCGATCTTCGGCAGCTTGGTCGCCTCGGCGCCCGACTTGAGTGCAAAGGGAAGCTTGGCGATCCGCCGAGCTGCATTGCGAGTTGTGTACTCACGCCACTGGTCTCCCTCGGCCTTGTACATGTCGGCGAGCTCGTTGAGCTGGCGGGACACAAGCATGTTGTTCCCCTTAGGATCTGTCGCTTTGGCGCCCTGGCATGCAAAGAACTCACGCGACGCAAGGACCCGCGCCTTCTTGCGACGCTTCTTGGCCAGCTCGTCGCTCACCTCCAGGCTCACCATCTTGTCGCTGCCCGCCACCGAAAGGGCCACCGTCCTGGTGCCGCTGACATCAGCACGCCTCTGGTGCTCGCGCCGGTACTGCTGGTACTTTGCCATCTTGACCTGGGCCACATACTCTTCGTCCGACTCGCCGTCCAAAGACGAGCACGAGAACGACGAGCTCTGGCCGGTGAGGCTCGATGGCTCCGCTGGCGTTGGGGGCGCTGCGCTTGAGCCTGCTCCGCCCTCGGCTCTCGCCCTCGGAACAACGCACACGGCTCGAGCATACTCGTCGTCGGCCAGCAGATCATCATTGTCGGCGGGTGCCATAGCCACTGTCGCCGTGCCTGCGGCGGCCGGACGAGAACGCAGCATCTCGGGCATGGCCAGGCCAGATGTGGCTGAAGCTATGACTGGAGCTACTTGCCGCGGCTCACAGCTTGGCTCGGGTACCAGAGATGCATGTGTGGGTACAGCTACACGTGGAGTGCCTGAGAACGGGTCCAACACGTGGAGCCGGAAGTCATGCGGCGAGATCGGGCTCTGCTGCTTGAGCGAGTCGACGAGGTAGTCCAGCTTGTGGAAGCGCGGTTCTTCCTGCGGCGTGTTGCTCTCATTCCATGTTGTCTGCCTCAGCCACTCGATGAGCTCAGACACATCGAGGTTGGCCACAATGACATTGGTCGTCGGCGAGACAAAGTCATGGACAGCACCCCCGAGCGCCGCCACCCGATTGCGCAGCACTCGGCCCTGAACGGCACCGATCCGCAGCGGTACTACGTACACCCTGACATCTGCCCATGTGCCATCCGAGCCAGCGACCAAGGGGGCCGATGGGGCCGACGCGGCCGACGCGGCCGACGCGGCCGACGGAGCCGATGGGGCCGTAGACGCCGTCGAGCTGGTTGTGGCCGTGCTGCGCTTGCCCCGCTTGCCTCCGCGCTCACTCCCTCCACTCGCTGCGCCCTTGGCCCTCCGCTTGGCCATGCCTACCACCTGCCGCCTGTCGCCTGCCGCCTGCCGCCTGCCACCACCCAATTCGCCGCGGGAGTGGCTTGGAGTGCAGTGCTTCGGTTGCTGACCACACGGCTTCGGCTGGGGTTGTGCTGCGCCGAGGCAACCTGGCAACCACGCACGATGATGGACCGGACAGCTCACTCTTTCAGCACAATTTCACAGCAGTCATCTCTCACACTCTCGGAGTGTGTAAGGGAGAGTGTGTGGGTCTTTCCTCTTCAGACTACATGAGCTCATCAAGAGCTGGGAACCAGTCACAGATCGTCAAACAGGTTGCGCCCGCTGAAGCGGTAGACAGGCGACTCATCGTCGCCGTCGCCGGCCCGGCCACGCTCACCGGGCTCGGCAACAGCCACGCCAGGTGCGCTGCTGTGAACTTTGTCGTCGTCGTCACGGTAGCGCGTCCGCGTCGGCCCAGCAAGGAGCGAACGGAGTGACGAGTAGCCGGCGCCGGCGCCGGTGGCATCTGTGGGTGGCTCATCGTCGATGCGGAGACCGTTGAGATCGAGGTTGATGGGCTCGAGCGGTCGCGCCTCGGCGGTTGTGTCGGCGAGCGGGCGACGTGCCGACGAGTCTGTCAGGGCGGAACGACGACGGCCCGAGATGCCAGACTTGATGGCGCGCTCGCGACGGGCGCGCTCGCGGGCGACGATGGAGCGGCCGAGACCGACAGGCGCGTCCGAGTCATCAAATGAGTCCTCAAACATAAACGAGCGGATGTGGAGCCAGGCAAGGATGCGCGAGTAGACGTTGAACAGGGTGCACAGGCACAGGATGAGGATGAAGAGCGGGAAAATGGTGTTGAACTGCTCGCCAAGGAACGGCACAGCGGTCATGTCGCCCATGATGTTGGCAAACGCGGTGTCGACGCCTTCAAACTCATGCAGCAGGAGCAGGTAGTTGTAGCAGATGGGCGCAGCCAGCCGCGAGAGGTACGCCGCCGAGAACAGGAGCGAGTTGGCCGAGGACAAGCCGCCGGGCACCAGCTTGTAGTACGAGAATAGCTGGACCTTGAATAGTGTCGAGTACGCGCAGACACAGAGGTAGAGGACCGGAAAGAAGACACAGATCTGCAGGCCGGCGTCAGTAATGTTGCCCGAGTGAATGGCAAGCGCAAAGACTGAGAGCACTCGATCCTTGTGCTTCGAATTGACGAGAAAGAGCACGCACTCGGACCAGACCACAAGCGCCGAGAGTGCTGCCAGCGCCACTGCCGCAATGCGGAGCGCGTACGGCGCGAGCCGGACATACCACCACCACTCGAGCTTGTCCAGCAGCGGGCCAAGCCGTGAGCGCCGCGGCGGACGGAGGAGCGAGACAACCGTGCGCTGCGGCGCGCCCCGCGCCTTGACCACGTCTTGCAGAAAGAACGCCGAGTCCATGAGCGCGTCAAACTGGGCCTCGGCCGTTTCAACCTCGCGCACCGCCCGCTTCATCCGCCCGTGCAGCGCAGCAATGTACGATCGAGAGACGGCGTCAATGTCAACTGCGGTTTCGTCGTCACTCAGGTGGAGCTGCATCCGTGCCTCGTACTCGAGCGGCGTCGCCGCGAGCAGGACGTCAAAGTACCGGTGCAGCGACTCAAAGTGCCGCGCCACAGGCTCCTCCATGTTCTTGACAGTGGCGATGCAAGTGACCAGCTCGGTCTTAGCATCCTCGATGTGGACAAGCAAGTTGTCGGCCCGGAACTCGGCAAGCCGAATGCCGCGCTCGTAGTCGGGCGCGTGCCAGAGCGCGCGCGGGACCTCGACGAGGCCGTACCCGAGGAGCGCGACGAGGAGGAAGAGGCCCCACGCGTTGGACGCCGCAATAGCAAATCCAACCAGATCCGAGCCGTACAGGTGCTTGGTCGCCATGATGTAGACGAGAAAGATGCCGAGGAGGACGCCCATGGCGCCGTAGAACAGTGCGTTCTCGCGGATCGAGGTCTTGCACTTGCCCCAGAACGAAAAGTCGCCGGCCTCCACATATGACTGCTGCAGCGGGACGACCAACCATGTCAGCGCAAAGGTCGTCCAATAGAACACGTTCCACAGCACATACCGTGTCGGATGCGGGAGGTAGGTCCACGGCTCGGCCCCGCACGTGCCGCGCCCGCTTTGGTCCGCTTCTCCTGATGACGGCGGCACGCCGCTCGACAAATGCCCTGCTCGGCACGCCTCGTACACAGTTGAAGAGACGTCAATAGTCAGCAGCACCACAATCGAGAACGAGATCATCCATCCCACATACGTTGTTGCGTACGCCAGTGCAGGCGTCGCCTTCCACGACCCGAACCGCCGCAGCGTCAGCCATGTGAGGACACCCACAGCGAGAAACTCGAACACCACAGGCACCCACATGCCGCAATATGTGTGACCAAGGTAGTAGGGGGTGGGGTGGGGGGGGTGGGGGGGTAGGGGGAGGGGGGCAGGGATGGAGGAGTGGGGTGTAGCACACCTCCAACAGCGGCTCGTCGGCTGTTCGCTGGCCAGTCGGTGCTCGCTGGTCTCTCGTTCGGCGAGCAATCGTTTGGCGAGTCATCGTTCTCCGAGCGCCCAAACCGGAGGAGGAGCGACACGATTCAGCAACGCAAGTGACCCGGGCGGAGAGGCAGCGGTGGCAACCACGGCGGCGCTTACGTGTGTGGTGAGCGAGCGCCTGAAGTGCGTCCGAGTACGTGAGCGAGCAAGACCCAACGCTAATTAGGTATGTTTATGGGAATGATGTAGAGGTCTGAGTGAGTAGAGGGTGCGTGTGGCGGTCCATGTTTGGCTTGGGTGGGTGGTGAAAGCCGGAGCGGGGGTGGCAAGTCCGTCCCGAGAGGGGAGGCGGTGTGAGGCGGAGACGTTGTGGCCGTGATGGCAAAAAATGGCGTTGCTTCCGACCGCCGTCGCCGATGGCTTGCAAGGCGTACCGAGCGCGATAAGCAAGGAGGAGACGAGCGAGTGGAGGCAATGTGTTGCTTCCGGCTCTGGTAGTTGCGGTGTGGTGGTTGGTTGTGGTGGGAAGAGTTGCTGGGTAACACTGTCGCCTGTTGTCGTCTCGGAAGGGGTGGCGGCACGGAACGGCGCAGGCAGCAAGCCAGCGTTGCGGGCGTGGGTGGTCGGTCGTTGGCCGGGACGTGCTCGTGATGCACAGGGGGGGGGGGGGACAAGGGAGGAGATGGGCGGACTCACGCAGGGGAGACAACACGGCAAGTAGTGGGCGTGAGTGGTGGTGATTGTGCAAGGATGGGCAAGGACAAACGAAAGGGCTCGCTCGATACCAAGCCCATGGCCATGCCTGCAAAGAACCCGGCTCTCGCTCGCGTCGGTCGCAAGACACGATCCAACTCGTCGCCGCACATCCTGGCAGCAAAGGCGGTGCGCGACAAGCAGATGACCAAGCAGCGGAAGAAGAAGCGCCGCACCGGGCCGCCCAAGACCACACTCGAAAAGTACCGCCGCAACGTCGTCGAGCTCATCGAGCAGCAGGAGACCAAGGTCTCGCTGCCGGACGTGCTCGGCATCTCGAACCTGCTTGCTCGTCAGCAGCGCCGGCTCTCAGGTGCATCACGCGAGGCCGGCAGGTCGATGGGCACACTTCCGACGCTCAAGTCTGTCGCCGAGGTCTCGAGTGGCCCGAGCTCTGCACCCCGCGACGCTGGCATTGTTTCGGCGCCGACACTCAACGCCAGCGTTCACAGCACGGCGGCCAGCTATGGCAAGGCCAAGGCACAGGCAGAGGTGACGTCCAAGCCGGACGCTGGTTCGTCATCGTCGTCGCTCTCGTCGTCGGGCGCGTCATCTGACTCGTCATCGTCGAACCTGGTCAAGGACAAGACTAAGGCCAAGGCCAAGACAGCTACAGCAGCCGCAGCAACGCCGGCCGCATCAGCACAAGCTCCGGCAGTGACCGACGCCAGCGCGGCCGATGGCGCCAGCACAGCCGGCGCGGCCGGCAAGAGGTTGGACTCGTCGTCGTCGTCGGGCTCGGCGTCAGACTCGTCGTCGAGCTCGTCGTCGGGCTCGTCGTCGTCGTACTACGGGTACTCGTCGTCGTCCGAGGCGGTGGTGCAGCTGGCGCGGCCCAAGTCGCTGGTAGAGCTCATTGCCGAGACCGAATCACCATTTGGGGTGCCGGACTCGGAGAGCAACATTGTGGTCGACGCCGAGGCTGCCAGCACGTCTGGGTGCTCGGTCAAGGCGGGGACGCTGTCCAAGCTTGTAGAGCGGCTCGCATCTGCGGGCCAGTCGGACATGCAGTATGGGCAAGCGTTTTTGATGACATACCGTTCATTCATGACGCCTTTCCAGCTGCTGGAGCTCCTCATGCTCCGGTGGTTCACGCCACCGCCGCCCGAGCTGCAAACCGAGGCTGAGCTCGAGGAGCACGCGACCAAGGTGCAGAAGCCGATCCGGCTGCGGATTCTCAAGCTGCTCAAGAACTGGCTCGACCAGTACACGTACGACTTTAAGGCGGACGATGGCGCACTGGTGCGCCAGCTGCTTAAGTTTGTGGAAGAGGCGACGGAGGGGACCGGAATGGCGGCGTTTGCGGCGCAGCTACGCAATTCGGCGACCAAGAAGCTGCTCAAGCTGTCGGACCACGGGTCGGGGACCATGGCGGTCTTCGACCAGAAGCCCCCGACAGTCATAATGCCCAAGCAGCTGCATCCGGCGCAGTATACGTTCCTCAAGCTCTCGCCGGTCGAGCTTGCGCGGCAGCTGACAATCATGGAGTTTGATCTCTACCGCCGCATCAAGCCGTGGGAGTTCCTCAATCAGGGCTGGACCAAGAAGGACGTGACGCCGCTGCCGTCGCCGCACATTGTGGCGCTGACCAACCACTTTAACCACGTCGCAGAGTGGGTTGCCATGGAAGTGCTCCAGGCTGGCTCGCTCAAGAAGCGGGCCAAGACTCTGGTCCGCATCATCGACATGGCCTCGGAGCTGCGCGCGCTCAACAACTTCAACGGTGTCATGGAGATCCTCGCCGGCCTGCAGACCACCGCCGTCTACCGCCTCCGCGCCACATGGAGCTCCATTCCCGACGCCGCCTTTGATACCTTTGAGTCGCTCAAGACCCTGCTCTCGCGCGAGAAGAACTTTAAGAACATGCGCGACGCGCTGCCGACCCTCAACCCGCCCATCATTCCCTACGTCGGCATGTGGCTGACTGACCTCACGTTTCTAGAGGACGGTAATCAAGACGTTACCCCGTCGGGCCTCATCAACTTTGAGAAGCGGTTCATGATCTCGGCCGTCATTCGCGACGTCCAGCAGTACCAGCAAACCCCGTACTGCCTCCGCCGCAATAGGCCCATCCGCCGCTGGATCGCTTCGCAGCCATCTAACATGCTGTACTCGGAAGACTCGGCTTACGAGCTCTCGCTCGAGGTCGAGCCGCGCGAGGGCGCGCCCAAGTCCAAGTCCAAGTCCAAGTCCAAGAAGAAGGCGGCCAAGAAGAAAAAGTCGCGCTCGCTCTTTGCCACCCTCCGCCGCAAGAAGAAGAAGACCGTCACCGTCATTGACGACAATGGCAACCAAGTTGCCCTCGACGGCGCCCATCAAGCCGAAACCCCCGACCAGCCGTAGCACCAGCTGTAGTTTACTGCCTCGATTGGACCCCCCCCCCCCCCCCCCCTCCTCCTCCTCCTACTCCTTCTCCTCCTTCCCCTGGAGTGCCAGTACCGAGAACAGGTATGTTTGGCCAATGAAGCTCTTGGATGTGCCGCCTATGGCCCCTTCCCCCTCAGTAATGTGCTAGACTCCAGTTGCCCACGCCCGATCCAGCGCCCCACGACATCACGCAACAGCCTCGCACGCCGCGCGCAGATAACCCCCACCCCTTCTCTCCGTCTCCTTGCCAACATGTCCATGGCCAAGCTCAAGTACAAGTTCTTCAAGCTCTTCACCTCGTGCCCCATCAAGGCCTGCCGTCCCTCCAGAACCGTACGCCCCCCTCCCACTTTCCCTCTCCAGCCGTGTGTCGTGCCGCCGCAACACGCTCCGCATCGCACACATACCCTCACTCTCACTCACTCACCCACTCTCACTCTCACTCACTCTCCCTTACACTTCACCTGTTTGTATTGTGTTTGCGCAACTTTCTGCAGCGGATGGCCAAGATGGCCATGTCCTCGTAGCCTTGGCCCTGCTTGTCGGCAGCAGCTCTGCCGTCATCGCTCGCCGCAGCATGGCGCTCGGCCATGGGCATCAGTGACATCATTAACAACGACAGAACCAATCGATCGATCGCGTGGGTTGTGGTTGTATGTGCATCGGTGTGGGGAGGAGGAGGGGGATAGGCGATGCAGCAATGAGCTTGGGCTTGCTTGGGCTTGGGAAGGGTGGCCAACTTTGCCAAACGCTGCCGGGCCGTAGCCCCCGAGCCAAAGACTCGGTCTGTGCATGTCACAGGGTGGCAACACATACCCGCATGTGGGATCAGCTCCCTATCGGCGTTGATCCGTCAGGCGTAGCCAGGATAGCCCACATGTTTGGCTGACGAGTATTGAGCCATGTCAACAACCCGCATGCGTCCATGCCACCAATGCAACTGACTGGCACTCGCTAGCCACTCCTTCTCCCCCCCTCGCGGGGAATCACCTCACTCACCTGCGACCATCCGGTAGCAGAGAGCAGGTAGCATGGCTTCACCAGTGTGTGCATCACTGTTCTGTCTGGTCAACATTGGTATTCTAGTCTTTGCCTTCTATTGGCCCATGTGGTATGTGGTGGTGGAAGAGACCGATGATGGCTCGGGTCCCGTCAAGACAGAGTCCAAGTTTGGCCAACAAAGGTACGAAGAGACGAAGGTGTGACACCTTCCAGGGAAGGGGGGGGGGGGGGGGGGGGTAGCCACGGGGAAGGAGGAAAGCAATATATATGTGTGTGCATGTTCATGTGCATGCGCATGTGTGTGTGTATGTGTGTGTGTGTGTGTGTGTGTGTGTGTGTGTGTGTGTGTGTGTGTGTGTGTG